TATATTTTCGTAGAAGGTCAACTATAGGCACGTGGGTCCACATATTTAGTACTTAGGGGTTTGAAAAGTTTTGGTTCGATTTAGACAATTTTGGCCCGCAAGGTGGCATACTTTAATTGCATTATTCACGCAAAGTTTACCCCGACACAATCATTGTTGCTTGATATGCATAGTGGAAAGTGAAAGAATCAGGGAATTGCAAATGGTGTTATATGAAAAATAGGCGTGGTTGTAGTCCGATTTCGCCCATTTCGCACTATAACATAGAAGTAAAAAAGAACGTTATGCACCGAATTTTGTTAAAATCGTTAAGCAGATCCCAAGATATGGTTTTCACCTAAAAGTGTTCTAAAAAGTCATCCCATACCATCCCAGAGATAAAATTAATGTCTCTGGCGTGTTAATGCTTGATTTATCGCGCTTTAGAGTTTTTAACAGTACCGTTATATGGAGTGAGCGGAGTTGCCACCCGATTTCAACTATTTTCACACCGTTAATAGAGTGCTTAAAAACATTTTCTTCCAGTGAATTTTTTATTAATTCATTACGGTTTAGGAGTATGCACATTAAACCTATTAGGGGGGGCCATGCCCACTTAAAAAAAAATTTAACTGCAGATGCCCCTCCTAATATGATCCTGGTACCAAATAAGAGTCTTGTATCTTATTGCGTAGTTTAGTTATGGCAATTTATTTGTTTTTGATTAATGCGTTTTGTGGGCGTGGCAGTGGTCCGATTACGCCCATCTGCAATACCAACCGTCTCACGGTACCAAAAACATGTCTACCAAGTTTCATAAAGATATCTCAATTTTACTCAAGTTAGAGCTTGCACGACGGACGGACAGACAGTCACCCGGATTTCAACTCGTCTCTTCATCCGATCATTTATATATATAACCCTATATCTAACTCGATTAGTTTAGGTGATTACAAACAACCGTTAAGTGAACAAACTACTTATACATCTCTCTCGTCATTGCGTTTGCAAATATTTTCGTTGGCTTGCAAATTAATTTATTAGATATTATTCAAGTGCATTATAATTTCAAAAGTTTCTAACAAACATGTTATAAACCGTTGGTGAAAGTGTTATTTGGAAATGTTTTGATGTAGGGCTTAAATATTATATTGCATTACATGATAGTAGATCAACGTGTTGCGCTTTTGCTTTGTATGTTAGACAAAAAATCCTTGAAAAAGCTGTTGCCGTTGGCCAGGGGATGCAGGATCATAAGCGTACCCCAATCATACATGAAGGAATCGTGAGATAAGAAGTCACCGATAAAACAACAAACAAAACGAGTTGCAGTGAAAAGTGTAGGTGAGTTGACCGACAATATGGATTAGAGGTGCCACGTCTGTTAAAATTGATAAGGCATGATAAAACAATTTTTAGATCATCTATCGATGTTTTATCCATTTACCCTTTAAATATAAAAAGTAACATGTTGAGTGTTTTTATAAATTTAAAGTTAACAACTCATTACAATGAGTGGAATCATTCAATGAGTTTAATTAGGAGGCACTACTAGAATCTTATTAAATTTTAAGGTATTAAGAAACTGAATTAATGAAAATTGAGAGTGAATGTATTTTGTTAAGTAGCAGGAGTTTAAGTTCGATTTAGATTTTCAGAAGTGGTTAATTTAATATAAATTAAACATTAGTAGTTTAATTAGTTATAGATAAATGTATAATATTGAATCTACCTTTGATATGGCCACATTAGGCATCGCACATCGAAATGCAAACGTGTGGATAAAAATAACTACATATGACGCCGATAGCAGAGCAGAACGTTAAAAGACTTCGGCTATTTCATGCGTCGTAAATTTTGTTCCCGAGTTAATTTTTATTAGTGAATTTTAATGCAACTGTGTTTTATGGTAAATAATTTGAGTGCTTAGAAATCAACAAATTTAAAAATACTTATAATATTGAAAGCTTCGAAACTTAATTGGTTTATTAATACGCGATATATGAGCAAAATTTTATAGTTGAAAAGGTTAGTGAGAACAAATGATGTGAAAAAGTATGTTTTAAAAATAAACCAGGAGTTCTACCTATGTATGTAGGTATATATACCAACTATTTCTTATGAAAGGTTAGGACTGAAAACGTCTGAAAAAGAAGGTGGGCATAGGAGGCTGTTTGTGTTGATATACAATGGTATACATATTTATAAATATTTTACCCGATATCACGTCGTCAGAGAAGCCTGATGCAACAGAACCGTGAACTGAATGTAAGAACAAATAAGAAGCTTTGTGTTTCTACCTTTGCAAATAACCATTGGTGTGTAAACTGTTACTGGAAAATAAGTACATACAATAAAACGGTCCGAAACAAATTGTACGAAAACTTTGCTATCATTTATTAATATCAAAAAGCTACGTTATTATGCTATTGTGTGACATTTGTGATATCTTAAATCATTGAAGTTTGTTGTCTGATATATGCAGACTTATGAATTCCCTGTTAGAACCATGTGTATTAACAATATGCGATATTTTATCGCGAACTGAGCTACTTAATATAATATTAATTAATTGCCACAATTAGTGATTATTAAAAATCATCCGTGTATACATTTATGCATGTGAATATATGGACGTACTACGTTGTAATATGTCTGGTTTTCATGACGCTTTGAGTAAATCTTCTATTATTCACTATTTTTACAACAACTCGTGGTGTTATCACTTAGGATAAGTGATGGAATTGTTAAAGGTTATATTAATTGTGATAATATAAACAATCAGAGTTCTTACTTTTTTACTAATTAATATTTCTTGTCGAGGCTGCACCTTTTCATCATTTGATACATATCTATTTACCAATATTATTCAGTTCATAGGGATAATTATATTGAAATATGTATGTTTCATAAATTTTGCCGACTTTTATTGTTGTTTTCTGTAATACTACAACAACTATGATTTTTTCCTCTAAGAACTTGCTCAACTCGTTGCCACTAAAACACAGTCAAACAAAAATTTCACTACTTGGTTGATATGAGGGTGGTAGCGAGGTACTGTTTATAACATAGTCGATTAAAATTGTATTAATTATATGGTTGGCAATGTCGGTACACCCGTTTGCTTTTATATGAGAGTAATATAAATATGAATGTCTGTATGTATTTACGTATTTATATGAAGTCGTCTTTCCAATTCGCTTGCTGCTGTATGGCGCGAATACTTAAAACGAACGCGGCCTGCATGAACGTTCACTCTATTGCGTTATTTAATTTACATATTTTGTACATTAACACAATTTCTTGCCGCTCAGTTTCGTAGTTAGATAATTTAGGATTGCTGTTATTGGCGCTTAATTACAGAACTAGTTATTTTTTGTTTGCATTATGTTTCTGCGAAAAAAATGAGAATGAATTTAACATTTCTATTCAAATTCAAAAAATCAAAAAAAATAAAAAATAAAACAATCATCCATTAATTTCTGCACACAAAATACACACTACATATATAGTAAGTGTTTATGTATTAATAACCTCCTAATTATATCTCCGAAAATTATAAGGAATTCATAAGCATTGTGTGGAACTAACTTTGATAGTAGAAATTAGCCTACCCTAATATTTTATCACTTAGTACCTCTAATCAATATACTAAAAAAGTGGAAACAAGAACATTTGCAAGTAATTACTAATATTTTATTTTCACCGAGTTGATAGTTCTTGGATGCATAAAAATCCGGGTCCATTCCGGTTACGTAGATCCGACTGTCGTGGGTACGGACTTAATTCCAGTAAAGTTCACCTTTATCAGTTCGTTTATTTGATTAGAATATAATTATCGGAATGTAAACGTTGAGTTTCGACGAATGTGTGTTAAAGCTAATTTGTAATTATTGTAAATATATTCTTACTACATAGTATATGTTTATATACTTCCGTGCAAAATATACTGGTCAATACATTTGTTTGTGTAAATAGGAGCGGTGGGGTTATCAAAAACATCAGATTCCTATAAAATTGCCGCTTTTGGGATTTTCTGTAATGCGTCAATATAAAATATTGATTAGCACATAGTTAACAAATATAGTGGGTACTTAATGTGTTATAGAATTATACTTTTACTTGTACTTATAGCTGCATTTAGATAAATAAATATATTTGGGTCTTATTTCCAATTATTAACACCGTCGTGATTTCCTGAATTTTTCATTTCAATTGGGTTGTTTTAGGTAAATCTTTTTTATACCCTTGCAACACGTTGCTACAGAGTAAAATAGTTTTGTTCACCTAATAGTTGTTTGTATCATTTAAAACTAATCGAGATAGATATAAGGTTATGTACATATATACAACTGATCAAGATAATGAGACGAGTTGATATTCGAGTGACTGTCTCTCTGCCCGTCCGAGCAAGCGATAACTTGAGTAAAAATTGAGATATCTTAATGAAACTTAATACACGTGTTCCTTGGCAAAATAGTGAATCGGACCACTGCCACGCCCACAAAACGCCATTAATCGTAAACTTATAAGTTGCCATAACTAAAACGCAAATTAATTTACAAAATAGGTTTAATGCATATATCTCCCAAACTAGTCTTGCTACTGCATGAAAATATGTGAAATCGGATGAAAACCACGGCCACTCCCCATATAACGGCCATGTTAAAAACTACTAAAACTGCGATAAATCAATAACGAAATGCGTCAGAGACATTAAATTTTACGTACTAGATAACACAAAAGGGCTTTATAGGAGCAGGAGTCAAAATTGGTAAATATGCATGGTAATGGACACATATCTCCGAACCTACTCTACCAATTTTAACCAAATGCGGTAGGTAACATTATTCTGATATTCGTATGTTACAATGCGAAAATGGGCAAACTAAAACATTAACCACGCCTACTTCACATAAAACACAACTTGAAATTCCATCTGATTTTTTCACTTCCAGTATAAAATTCAAGCACTAATTAATATATTGGTATAAAAATTTGCAGAAATATTTAATTTAAGGTATGTCATCTAAGGTCTACCGGAAATGTGAACCCCAGTGCCTATGACTGACTAATATACCCTCGTGTCAAAAATGGGTTGAGTCGGATCAATACTTCCTTTAGCCCCCATAGAGCTAATATAAAACCTTTTGAACTTCCAGTTGACTTTATACCACATACATATATCGGCCAATGTGGTTGTTATTTTAATGAAATTACCAAAGCGTGTTTTTCTAATAACAATTTGTCTTTGTGCCTAAAATGAATGAAATCTAGCGAAAACTTGCCTTAGCCCCAATATAACTGACATTCACATTTTGAAACGTCTGGCTGACTTTACGCCGTACATATGTATGTTTATATATATATTTATAAAATTGCTTGAAAATAAATTCTCAAGTATACCTGAGCAATGTCAAAAATTAAAGCAATCAGCATTTCCATTTCTATGCCCAAAATGATTTTAGTATCGTTTGCGATGCCGGGAAGTAAAATGTAGTAATAAAACTAAGTAAGTCTATGGCCTTAAAAGTAACTTAATATGATACCAAATTTGATTGTAATCCATTCACCATATTTCCCCGGCTTTAATCTTTGCAGGTTGCAAGAGTATGAAATGTTCAGTTACACCCGAATTTAGCCCTTCCTTACTTGCTTTAAGTTATAATTTACCGTTACAAACGAAAAACCTTTCTAATAATAGCATACATTATTGATAATTGAGTAGGAATGCAAGGATTATTTTTCAATACAGTGGAATATTTCTGTAACAGGTGCAATTGCTGTACTTACAAATTTTCTAGCGATATCAGCTATCCAGCAAGTAAACAAATAAACATTGAAGCGAATCGATAAAGCCAAAGTAAATACATGCAAAATAGTTATGTAAGTACACAAGTATAAGTTTACATTAATAGTAACAATACAATTAAATCCTCTAAATAAAAGTAAAGCAGAAGTGAGTATAAGTACATTTTTTCACACCAACATAGTATGCGTGTTGTATGCACATATATTTTTATACCCTGAACAAGGTATATTAAGTATGTCACGAAGTTTATAACACCCGGAAGGAAACGACGGAGACCCTATAAAATATATACATAAATGATCAGCATGATGAGCTGAGTTGATTTAGCCATGTCCGTCTGTCTGTCCGTCCGTCTGTATATTGCACACGTCCTCTCCTCACTAGGAAGCTGCTCATCTGTCGGAACGTCCGATATCGGACTACTATAGCATATAGCTGCCTTCGGCGGTTGTACCTTTGTATTAAACAATATGGCTGCGTACGAGCTACTTCGACAAATTTGCAACACTGCTGTCGTGATTGCCATCTTGAACGCACCCTATACCATGACAAAGATATCTCGTCATACAAAAAAATGTTCATACAAGGATATGATTTTGATCGGTCAGTTTGTATGGCAGCTATATGCTATCGTGGTCCGATATCGGTGGTTTTGACAAATGAGCAGCTTCTTGAGGAGAAAAAAGACGTGTGCAAAATTTCAAATCAATATATTTTGCATTGAAGCATATCCCAACTCGCATTGCTATTTAAGTAAACAACTGTATTTATGAACTTATTGTAAAATCTATTATATAAAGCCAATTAATTTTATACTTTATATGTACATTTATGCCCGCATATAGATTTTATTAACAAGAGTAAAAAACTTAAATATCTAAATTTTTTTATTCCGCTTTGTATTTACATTTAAATATATTTACTGGTACTATTTTGTTACTTATAAAATTAAAATAATATTTTTCCCATTTCAATTTTATTACAAATGTAGCGTCTGTGCGGACCAGGTTTGCAAATTTTTAATTCGAAAATTTGGGATCCCGAAAATAGTAATTTTTGTATTTGAATGAATTATTATTTTGCTTAACATTAAAATTTTTCAATCTGGTAGTTGAGATTAATTTTTTTTGTTTGTAATCCGGTAAGCGGGACTAAATTTTTTTTTAAGTCCGGTATATATAAAATAAAACAAAAATTTTAATTCACATGTTTACTCAAAATTTTTTGAATGCATTATTTGCAACCCTGGTTTGGACCAATATTTACTTGAATAATTTCATTGTTCACTTCCGATATTTATCAGTGGCTAATTTGTTATTCCAATGAGTTCAGTTTACTCTTAAAATTTGCGTATATGCAAACTTTATTATTTTGCATATCATTTGTTGAATGCTTCCAGTAAACTGCCATCTATATGTAGTATGTTGATTTTCCTTGTTGTATATAACGAAACTCTGTGCATTTGTTTATAACACCAGCTGAATGGGTGTCATCGAATAATGCAAAGTTAGCTTTTCTTTTCCCCCATTTCGGATGGGTATCGATGTTAAAGACCAGTTAATAATTGACAGCTGTTTGTGTATGCAGCATAAAGATTCTGCTCGCCGGTTGACATTCTTGGAAATTCGTCTGCCGTGGAATTTCACAAATCATTATTATATATATATACATATATATGCGAATAAATTTGCAACCGATATACAAATATATGAACATATGTATTTGCATATACATATGTTTATGTATTGAAAAGTGCAGTTATGCATTTAAGTGTTGTATATACATATGTGTGTATATATTCACTTCTTCAAATGTATACTAAAAAAAAAATTTAAAAAAAATATTAGTTATTTTCAATTATGCATTACTAGAACAAAAGTATATCCCTGTATATTTTTTCCAAAATAAAATATAACTTCAGCTCTTGTTTATGAATTGATTTATATCTATATACATATAAAAAATATATGTAGTTATCCGAGGTAAACTCCTAAACTACTAGCACACTGCGTCCAGTTTGTCCAACTGCATTAACTTATTACTTACCGATCCAAACATGGTTAGATTCTCGCGAAATTAAATTTGATGGTCGTGCCTTGTTTGAAGCGGAACCCCCTCCAAGGAAAATCAGGAGATCATTTCTCCAACACGTCGACAAACTGAACCAATATACCGACCATTCACAGTAGAGCTGTTAACATCTTCATCGACTCCCTCCCACTGAATGGCGTTCTTGGAGTTGAAACACTACCTATTGCAGAGCAAGTGTCTAGTTGCCGCGTGAAACAAGAGTGACCCTTGCGCAACTTCATTCTGGATACTGTAGCAGGTTAAACTTCTACTTCTCCAGAATAGACCTTGACCTAGACCTTTATGTCTATAAATCAGTCTCAAAGCCAATAATATCAATTTTTGGTTTAGATTTTGAAAATTCATTATTTTTTTTATCGATAAATATTTGTATCAATCATTTCCAAAATTTTAGCTTAAGTTCAATCCATTGGATGCTTGACGTGTGTCCTAGACGTCGTTATTCTCTTACGATCAAAAGTTCTTTGATATGCCATGTTCTTTACTGATATGTTAAGCTTGAAAACTTTGTTCAAAACTGGTTCAACGACATAAATTCTGCGAAATTAAATAATCTTTCGAATCTGATTTCTTTCAGCATAGCAACGCATGTGATCCATCACCAAATTTATATGGTTAAAAATTATAAATAAATAAATAAAATATAATTTTGGTATTACACGAATGTACATACATATGTACATGTGTAACATACACACATACAATTTTGGTAACGTAATATTATATTTTATTTGCATTCTAACGTTCCCAAGGTAGTCGGGTCTGCATTGAGTACACGCATTTACATACAGACGTGTTCGAAATATTTATCAAGAACAACCAACATTTTTCCGACAAACAGTTGTGCAAGGTTAGAGTTTTTAAAAAATGCAAAACCTGACAATCATATGCACGTTAAATGTTTTTTTTACAGAGTTTTTTGTTGCTTTGAGCCCGAAACAACTTGTTCGAAAAAATAAGGTAAAAATATAAATAGTTATACGAATTGTATTTAATATGGAGAAATGTACACGACTGCCTTCACATTTAGTATTATTATTCCCTTTGCTCAGAAGAATCGAACATGTACATATGTGTAGGACTACCCACTCGGCATTATTCTTTTAATTTATTTTGTGAATGTTTTTTACCGCTATAACAATCATAATTTTTATATTCTTTATTTATTCAATATACAAGTATCATGTGCTACAAGTATTTCTAAAATTAGTGCGAGTGTTGTGCTCTACCCTACAATTTTGCCTAGCGTTATCAAATATGCAAACAAATATTTCCACACACGAACACGTTTTTGTTGATACCCTTATCAAATGATTGCTCATCTTAAACATTTGTTCCTAACGGCCAATCTCGTCAAAGCAGCTAATTTGAACTACTAATTAGTTGACGTCGATGACCTAAGTTCTTAACACCAACCAGAGTTACCGTAGTCAATACAATAAAAATATGCTATTATATTAGTGTTTTAGTGTTTAAACTGTACAACAATAAAGATGTGTTTGTATATCTGTTAGAATGATGATTCATATACAATACATACATATTATAATTTCTTTTTGCTGCCTCAGCAATTGTTCACAGCACAATTGCCATTTTTTGGGTTAACCCTGAAATTGCAAAATATTAAAATATTATATTACATTTATTCATTCAATGCCAGCGTTAGGCGCCATGAACACATTTCACTTTTCTTCTTCAATTGAGAGTTTGTTGTTCGCTTCCAACATTACGATTACATAGGCGTAAGCAATCTATGTACATTCCTATGTATCTGCAACCTTATCTACAATACAAATTTACTTAGCGCTAAGTTTGAGCAGTGTAAACGTTCGTTAACAGGTTTTAACCGGCGGCTAAAAGGCGGAAATAAAACGAAAAATGCAACGCATGCAGCGCTCTGCTCAAGTTACAATTGACCTACCTGTTGGCTTAGAAAATTATCTTCACTTTTCCCCCAACCCAAATGTTTAAACGTCTGCACGGATTGCGTTCATTTGAAACCACTACTTTATGTAGTCTTAGGCAGATCCTTATCGCTTCAGGCCACTTACATACAAACACATAAATATATACGTTTGAGATTCGTGCAGCCTACAATATTTCTTATTTTCCCTATCTTACTGTTTAAACTTACGCATACGCACTTATCTTCGTATATTTATATACTTGTACATATGTATGTATATTTTCGTGGTTTTGTTTTGCTTGTCCGCTCCATTCGTCTCACCGGTCAAATTTTATTTATTTATTTGTTTGTTGTTGTTGAGAAGGTTATTTATATTTTTAGTCACGTCTTTTATTGTGTTTATTGTATTTGTTGCATTGCCTGTTGCTTCCCTTCGAAATTGTTTTACTTTCAAGGCTTATAGACGGTGCGTATGACTTTTTCCAGCTCAAACGACGTTTTCACGGGAAATCGTATAAATTCTATTCCGTGTGGCTTTTCTTGATTTGCATTCATTATAGGTCGTTATGCTGCAGTGTAGAGTGTTTTCTTTCAAACATTTTCTACTCAATGCGTAGCATTCGGATCGAGAAAGTGTGCACAAAAAATGTTAAAATTTAATTTTGAACGAATTAAAAATAAATGTTTTTGAAATTAAAAACCGTATAAGTATTATATTTTTGCTCTTTATACATTATTTATGCTTATATGTATGCATACATGCATAGTAATTGCCACAAAAAAAAACGTGAAATATAATATTATTTTTAAGTGTTGTACATTTCTTAATCTAAATCTTTATCAGAGTATACTCGTATGCACCAATATTTGTGTGTTTGCATTTAATGTGCATTTATAAAGTGACTTTGGATGCGAATACGTGGGGCTAGACAAACAACGCGCAGTAACGATAAGCGAGTGAAAATTTTAAATTATTCATATTATTATTGTGTTGTCATCTTTATAAAATTTCAAGCAACCAAAGTAAATAAATCTTTTGTTTAATATCATTAAATTATAAAAATATATTATTGCTATTTGTGGTTTCGGTCTAAATGCAGATGGTTAGTCATAATTTATTAAGTATATTTAGAAAACAATATACAATTGTGTGTGTGTGCGAGCAATAATTACCTTCTTAAATAAAAAAAAGTCCATACAATTACTTGATTTTGATCGTTTACTTTGTATAACAGCTGTATGCGATGGTGGTCCGAACAGGAAAATTTCTTCGAGTATTGCAGCGTTACCTTGGATAATAATCAATGCCAGATTTTGTGAAGATATCCCGTCAAATAAAAAGGTTTTCCATAGAAAAAATTGATTTTGTCCGTTCAATTTGTATGGCAGCTACATGCTATAGTGGTTCAACAATATATCAGCGTTTCCTACAAATGAGCAGCTTCTTGAGAAAAAAATGACATGTGCAAAATTTCAGATCGATAACTTAAAAACTGAGGGATTAGTTCGCGTATATACATAATATTCTGTTCAGGGTAAAAAACGTTACTAATGCATCTATACCATATCTATACGAAAATAAGAACATTAATTAATAAAAGCCTATATATGTACATATACAGTGTCGGCCAAAATATAAGAACACTTAATCCAGTAATATTCGATTGCAAAATATTTTTTAACGTCATCGTTTTTGTTAAACTTTTTTGTTTGACGATTGGGTGGCATATTATAATGCGCAAAAAAAAAAGGTTGGCAAATCTGCAGCTATATCGGTTTTTGAGAATTCCCCGAATACTGTCAATTTCATTGTACAAGCAGGGATAATGGGATGCCCAACTCTTTCCAGTGTGAGAGCGCCTCAAAATTAGCGTTTTTTATTACATTTTCCATTGTAGCCAGATTGGAATTTAAATTAAAATACCCATCATTTATTAAGATTAAATATTATTATACATGTATCCGTTAAACATATGCAGACACTTTTTATACTCTCTTTTTGTGATTTTGTGATATATTAAACAATTGATTTTTGAACTTTCAATACGTAATCAAAAGAATAAATGTATTAGCTCTCAATTAATAAATGTTTTTAAAAATTTTCAATTGAAAATCAATACCACTCAGCATGACATCACAAAAGATATCATCACATACATTTCAATTTCGCGTTTTCTTTCATTTTCATTGTTTTTCAATTTTTGTTAGTGATCTTCAACAGCAGCACAAATCTCTGGTACAAGCAGAGATAAAGAGATGCCGAACTCGTCTCGGAAGGGTACAATAGACCATAGGTCGCGGTGCATACCTCGAAACTAATCTAATCTAACTCGTCTCTCACTGGAAATGAGAGCGCAATTGCTAAACGTCAAAACCTCCTGAACTCAAGCAACTGTCAACGTTCAGGAGGTCTGACGTTTAGCAATTGGAAAAAGAGGGATGGCCAGACTGAAATCCTACAGAAAAATATGTCAACAGAGAGATTTCTTGCCGCTGTTAAAGATCACTAACAAAAATAGGAAAACAATGAAAATGAAAGAAACGCGAAATTAAAATGTATGTCATGCTGAGTGGTATTGATTTTCAATTAAAATTATAAAAACATTTATTCATTAAGCACTAATACATTTATTCTTTTGATTAAATATTGAAATTTAAAATCAAAGTTTTAATATATGACAAAATCACAAAAAGGGTTTGAATAGTTTTTGCATATGTTTAACGGATACATGTATATTAATATTTAATCTAAATAAATGTTAGGTATTTTAATTTAAATGCCCTAAAGTTATTATTTTGACTGATCTGGCTACAATGCAAAATGTTATAAAAACGCTATTTTGAGGCGCTCTCACACTGGAAAGAGTTGGGCATCCCATTATCCCTGGTACAGTATAAGCCTACTAGCCTAATAGATTTATACAACGGTCAATTTGAAGCGTGTGAAGGAGGACAATAAAATAAGAACAGAAGACAAAACGGACTATTTTGTATCAGAAAGCATTAAGAGAGATGACTGAGGACTAATGCCCGTTTAAGATATTAAGTGCAAATAATTTCACACCTAAGGTAAAGGTGGGGGTAGGTGAAACATTGGGGCATGGACGAACAGGATAGTAAAAATACTAAAAATTAAAGTTGTTGTTGTTGTAGCGTGAAAACATTCCTGAAGTAATTTCGAGGAATGGTGCCGAGTTGACAAACCTGTGCCAAATAAAAATCCGGATCCGTTCGGGTTACTTAGACCCGACATTCGTGGAGCGCAGAAAATTAAGGTCGAAGTATTCGGTGCACCAAGCCCTCTTACTACAAAACAACTCAATACAAAAGTGCAACGATAAATTCGGTAGATTTGCAGAGTGCGGATTCATTCAATTCAGCTGCCGCAATTGGGAGGAGACTGCAGTTAAAATTTGTGCTCGGTCAGTAAGGAGACGTCTAGTTGAAAATAAAATTGATGGACAGCTCGCGAGTTGCCGTTATTGACACAGAGACATCGAAGTGTCGCATCAAGTTCGCTAAACTCATGTCGAGTAGAATGTCTCAATAAACGTAAAAGAAAAATGCGTAACGTACTATGGGATTGCTCCTTGGTATGGTGTGGGTACCTGTAGCGATAAATAAAAGATGAAAGATTTATTTACGTCCGCATACTCAATGCAGTTAATACTTTTGCGGAATAGAAGGTGTTTCTAAAGTGGAAGTTTCAACAGGACAACGACCCAAACATATGTTTTCCCTTGCACGAAATTGGTTTCTTCATAACAAAATAGATGTTTTATCTGGCTATCCCAATCTCTGGACCTGACCCAATAGAAACTGTGAAGAATTGTCAAACAAAAGTTTGGAGCGTTAGGTCGATTAAGAAGGAAGAATTGTGGAGCAAGATCTTAGCAAACAGTGCATATTCAACAAATATTGAATATGCACACATCTTTCCTTCGGTTTTAATCATATTTATATTTCTGTCCTCTCCCGATGTGATTCAGCACATTCAGTGTGTGCATAATTAATCCAATTTTAGATAGAGTTATTGTCGTTGGTTTCTTCGACAGATTTCTTTTTATTACCACAAACTGTGACTAAGGCCGCGTTCCCTCGGCGGGTATTTGTGTTTCTTGTGGTAAAATGCCACATATGTTATGTTGTTGTAGTTGCATAAGTCATACTCAAATTGGAGCACTAGCCGGGATATAAATTCATTCCCGATTCTGTTACGTATACTCGACTGTCACGGGAACGGTAGCGGCGTTCCTCTTTTCATTTGTAATATATTGATAAAACATTCAGGTTTGCTTTGCCAGCTTGTCGAGGACGCGACATATATTCAAAGTATACATATATTCAAGTATTAATGTTTATATTATATTATTACCGTTTACAACTCCACTCGGTTGAATTGCTTCAACTTCAGATCAACCCAACTCTTTTTAGTATTACGATTTTCAACTATTTTCAGTCGAAGGTTGGTGCTGCCAACCTAAAAAATTAAGATTTAACAGATCATTGAACATTGTTCGAGCAAAAGTGGTGTGTTGCACATATGAAAAATCCATTGGAACTTCTTAACACCAAGTAAACCTAAGTTTATTAACAATTAAATGGCTCTTAAATAGTGTTTTTTTGCATTTTTATATGTATTTTCGTTTAAACGACGAATTATTATGTTTTTTTACTAAATGCTGATAAAGGAATATTAAATATTATTACAACTCTCCATTTCCCTGCTGCCGGTTGTTATCAAGAATGCATATTACATGATTTTCGGCTGAAGCTACCCACGATATTTATGGCTTACAAAACTTCCTATTAAATATCACCAACACCATATATATGCACTGTAAATGAAACACAAATGACTGAAGAGAAGCGAATTGTTTAAAAAATTTATTTTAATAAAAAAATATATTCCCAGTAGTAGATTGTATTGACTCTTTATGTTCGAAACACTTACCACGATCCCTTAACTTTATTTTTGCTGTTTCCTAATTACAGCTTTTCTATAATTCTAGCTATTTGTACAAAATAACTGATTAAAATAGTTTAAAATTATTATTAAAATTTTTGGTTTTTACCCATTTTCCGTTTTTGATTCATATTTTTCCTAAATAAACGCTATTATGTTCAACTATAGCTGCTCGGTAGCAGCTGAAATTTTATAATACTCTAATCAACCCTACTGGCACAGAGTTGAAAACCGTAATATCAAAAAAAGTTAAAGTTTGACAAAACTTCAACCTATTTTTTTTGACGGGTTGAGTTGAAAACCGTAATACCGAATGATACCGAATCAACCAAAATGCAGTTGTGTTGAAAACCTTAATTGTAAATATTTATTATTAATACTTTCAATGCTTCGATGCACTGCCGAAACGGCATGATAAGATTTCAGTTAGCTGTAGTCTATATGTTTTATTATATATGCATGCATGTATGTGCCTTAATGTATATAAAGAATTCAACAGAAATCAAGTTTGAATATCAGCACTACTAACAAATTGGACCACTCAATGGCCATTTTAACATTCAATTGATCTCTTTTTTTTTAACGAGAGTCTACGATTTTATACAGCTTTTATTGAGCGGCAATAAAACAGAGTCATTTGTTATAAAAAATACGCATACTTAAATAAATAATGTTTTTCACAGAATGGATAACCGCAACATCGATTTCAACGGAAGCTGTTACATATATGAAATTTTTTTAAGGTTATAATGAGTTTTAAACAAGCAGTAACTACCTACCTTCTTGTTCAGCACTGTGCAGTATTTCAAATGGAGGAGAAATCTAACATTTTGTAGCAATTAAAATGTATTATTTTTTAACTTTTTTATTTAAAAGTCAAAATTGTGTAATTAAAATACGCACACAAGAAAAAACAAACTAATTGTATTTGAATAAGAATTCTTCAATATCACTTTATGGATTGTAGACATACATATACCATATAACAAAGATGAATGTACATACATACTTATGTGCATGCATATAAATACATAAATTGCATTTGTTTAATATTGTCCAAATCACTAAATTCTAATTGAAAATATGTGTATACGCTTTGCTAATTTGCCACATTTCGCTTCTTTCCTCATTCATTTTTTTTTAGTTTTTCATAATAAAAAAAATAAAATAAAATTCGCACGCACGAAAATTGGACTCCCAAAAAAACAAAAACTAAAAACAAATAAACCAATTTATATCAAAACGAATCGTTTCATCCATTCATCAACACTTTGGGGCACGTCAAATTCAATTTTATAACATTTACGGATTGTGAAGTGTGTCCATTGGATTCGGTTTGGCTATCATACATTGCCGTGCAGGGACATCGCACATCATTCCCACTACAATTACCACTACCATCAGCACCACAATCATTACTACCATCACTACTATTACTACTCCAACCACAGCCATTAGTGCCAATATAGGCGATTTAATCACTATACATACGTAATTAGGTTGCAGGACAGCATCCTCATCTCAGCCTTGTTTTGTATATTTGTGGTAGCGCATGTTGTAAATTGACCGAAGCAAATAAGCAGCCATAAGCTTCAATAAAAATAGCATACACAAACATAACCTGCAAAAAAGAAAAATACGTATTATATTTGCAAACGGGAATATATAAATCATAACTAAGAAAATTGTTAATTACACACACACGCACACATAGTGCTGCTCACCACAATGACTCTGTGGAAGAGTATCGTACGCTCTCCAGAGCTTGAAAAGCGCATGACTCAGTACTACGATGTCAAGGGCCTTACCGAGATACGCGTGCAATTTGCATCGTGGATTGAAGAGTTTATAATGTAAGTAAAAAAAAAAATCGAAAAGCACTATAGGCAAATAGGCTGCAGTGGTAAAAGAAATGTGTGTGCTGGGCGCGTAAACCGCCTTGCAAAATCTAGCAAAACTTAGCATTTATTTATACCTATTTGTCACAACAATTGTATTAGCATAATTTAACGCAATGCTTGCCCACAACGGCTGCATATATAAATAAATACACGTGTTTCTGTATGTATGTGCGTGTGTTTTTGTGCTTAATATGTCTACTATTTGCGTAAACCTAACGTTTTTGTTTGAGTCCTCTGTACACGTACTTGTCGTACTAGAAATATGTGCAATTTCTTCCATTTATTTAGACCCTTCCAGAAAGGGTTCGGGCGTTGGACCAAGTTAGTTGTCTTAAAATTTTATGTACCTATAGATATTGAGCTAAAAATAAACATGTATATATTTGTACAAAGTTGAGTTTGAAAATATATTTATTGCATATATGGTAATACATATACATACATACTTACCAAGAACGTTTGTGCACTAAACCCCGCTTGTGTCTTACAGGTCGCATCACCAATTGCCAACTAACGAGAAAATTTTAGAACAACTAGTCAACTCATTCTACGACGGGCTCAAACAGAAGCTCATTACATTGGATGGTGATAGTTTATTAAAGTTTAAAATTCGTGAAATTTGCGCACATTTAGCACGAACAACACCCCTTGAGCTATACACGTACTTTCGTAACGGTTTACTTCGTGAAATTCAGGCATTGAAGGAAGGAATGCCACAAAATCCCTACATGTATAATACAGCACTTGTTGGTGGTCATGTAAATGGGATCGGCGGCATGAATGCAGGTAATCCCTATTTGAGCGGTGTTGGCGTTAGCCACATCAACGATGTGCATATGGCCGAAGATGCGTATGCATTGCCGGCGCGCATACAAAAGCTAGCCGTTGATGTTGAGAATATGCGTATGGCCATACACAATTTCCAAGGTGAACAGGATTCGGTATATAATTATTTTAGTGATTTCAACCAAACGCGTGCAATGATGTCGGCACAAGATATACAGGAACGTGAAAATCAATTTAAGGAACAGTATCTCATTTTATCTGAACGCAAGAAGGTTGTCGTCACTGATTTGCGACGCGTTATCAACGAATACGATACGATACAAGAGCAGGTGATAATGGCATTGAAAATGTGGCAACGTAATCAGGCTTTGGCTGGCAATGGTGCGCCATTCCATGACAATTTAGATGAGATACAACGCTGCATAGAGATGTTGGTGGATATGATTACTAAAATTCAATTATACGTTACTAATCTGCTTGCGATGGGCGAGGATCCGATATTGACTGATTTGCTAAATCATGTACGTTCTACACAAAAAATTCTGGTGTTGTCGGCTTTTATAGTGGAACGCCAGCCGCCACAAGTGATGAAAACACATACGAGGTTAGTCAATATACAAGTACAAGTACAAGTGTATATATATTTTGTACATAGGTATATTATAATTTTGCTTGCCTCATTCTAGATTTGCCGCTGCTGTACGATGGTTGATTGGCCCACAACTGGAGATATACAGAACTAATCCAACTATAGAATGCGTTATACTCTCAGGTAAGAAAAATCTGAAAAGCTTTTCATTAAAATACAATTCCTATACTTCCTATAAAATCAATTTTAAATTCATCCGATTTTTTTCTACTTTATATTATTATAAAGCTTGTTTAAATCAAGCGCCAATGATGATATAAATCAGCCCATAAGTTCCAAAGCCCTCTGATCATGAGACCCTTGGAATTTTTTACCGAAAATAGTCCTCAATCTGTGAGATCTCCTAACAAAATTCACAGAGAATATTTTCTTGAAAAAATGTATAAAATCGGGCCAAGGGGAAGTCCCTATTATTTTAAAATAATTGTGTGGAAAATGTTTTCATGCAACCTATTAGGGATCCGAATTTGAGTCTTGCAAATTGCAAGAATATAAAAAGTTCCGTTACATCCGAACTGACTCTTTTCTTACTTATTAAAAATTATTTTAAAATTCAATATTAACAAGATAATGTTTGGCCCATCTTTTAGAGGCCCAAGCCCAACGGCACGCCGCTCACAACAGCACTTCGGATATGCAAACCGCCGCTCCACCGCAGTCTTCTGGTGAAATTTTAAATAACGTTAGCTCTATGGAATTCCAACAAGCTACACGAGTATTCTCAGCCAGTTTTAGGTAAGTTCAATTTTTGTGTGCAAAATGTTGGCAACATATGTTATCTGAAAAAATCGACTTTTTTCTTTTCAGAAATATGCAATTGAAAAAAATTAAGCGGGCCGAAAAGAAAGGCACCGAGAGTGTTATGGACGAGAAGTTCTCTTTACTCTTCTACACAACTGTCGTTTTCAACGAATTCAAGATAAGTGTAAGTACTAACGAAATTACTTCTTCAAAATATTTATGTTTATTATTTTTCACTTTCGTTTTCAGTGCTGGACACTTTCTTTGCCAGTTGTTGTGATTGTGCATGGAAATCAGGAGCCACAGTCCTGGGCTACTATCACTTGGGATAATGCATTTTCCGATATAACGCGTGAACCCTTCCAAGTGCCAGAGAAAGTACGCTGGGCGCAATTGTCTGTGGCTTTGGATACGAAGTTTGGTTCGGCGACTGGAAGAAATTTAACCGAAGATAACTTGAATTTTCTTTGTGAGTTATACCATCTTTACGATTATTTAGAACGTGCGCGAGCTATTAAATTTTTTTTTTAATTTTAATTTTTAGATGAGAAACTTTTCCGCAACGAAGCTGGAGAGCATAATGAGTTCATAACTTGGGCCCAGTTCTGCAAAGAACCTCTGCCTGATCGAACATTCACCTTCTGGGATTGGTTCTTTGCCATAATGAAATTGACCAAGGATCATTTATTGAATCTGTGGAAAGAGGGTCTTATTGTTGGTTTCATAAATAAGCGCAAGACTTTGGAAGAAATTTTACCTATGCAACAATATGGCACATTTTTACTGCGTTTCTCTGACAGCGAATTGGGTATGTGACTCGTTGAATTTATTTGCGAAACACACTTAAGCGTATTATGTCTTCCCTTATTAGGTGGTATAACTGTAGCTTTTGTCGACGATCAGGGTAATAAACTTATGTTGGCACCTTGGACGTCACGAGATTTAAATATACGCTGTTTGGCCGACCGCATACATGACTTGAACGTTTTACGTACTGTCTTTCCAAAGAATTTGGCACGTGATGAGGCGTTTGGTAGCTTCTACTCACACCACGTCGGTAAGTGCTAACATCAACGCATTGATAAATATGCTAACCTCCGCTTAATTGCTAGCGAAAATAGGATTTTTTAACATAATTAATTTGCTTTAACTTCGCTAATTAAATAAAAATTGCTTTTAGAAGAACAAACAACACGTGATGGCTATGTTGCAAATACAATAAGGGCACACGTGCCGGCCATAGAGGGCGGTTCTGTGGTGGGCACGCCGCAACATCAACCGCAAGATATATCAATACCGAAGTAAGTTTTTGTTGTTGTTTGTTAAAAAAATAATTTTTGCTTTAATTAATTTTCGAAATTGAATTATTATATAATACTTTACTAATTTTTTTGTAATCATAAGTTTAATGGGCTGCTTTTACTATTCTTTTATCTGACTAAAGTAGTAAATTTTTTGTTTAAAGTTTTGGTTAACGATCCTTATAAAATTTTTTGTTCTATCCTATGTGCTATTATTGTTGTCAAGTCATATGTGTTGAGATTTCCTCTTTAAGTTCTTGAAAGAGGCTTTGTTAGAACGGTTAAAACTGACTTTGAATCTGTTTAAAATTTAACAATTCTAGATTATTATAGCTAGAATTATGCAATCATTGTTGGGCGCGGTTTAAGGGTATAGAAATGGCTCACACCTTGTATCTTCGTACTACTGTATTGAAAATGTTTCACTTTAAATCAAATAGCCACTCGGAGTGTGCTCAATGATCTCTTACGGTTGGACAACTAAAATCTAATTTATTTTATTGTTCTTGTAATCACTTACCAAAGTACTCCATACTCCATTTTCGGTAACACCTAAAAAGAAACGTCGAAGACCCGTCTGTCTGGTTGTATTGTACATACACGAATTGGTCTCAGTTTTTGAGATGTCGATTTGAAATTGCGCACACGTCCTATTCTGCCTAAAAGGCTGCTCATTTGTCGGAATCGCCGATATTGGACCACTGTAGGATATAGTTGCCATATAAACTGAGCGATCAAAATAAAGTTCTTGTAAGAAAAAATTGTTTATTTGACAAGATATCTTCACGGATTATTGTTTAGCGTAACGGTAAAATCTAACAAATTGTTCAGAACACTTTAGCATATAACTGCCTTACAAGTTTTTTTTTTTTTTGTCAAGATATCTTCACGAAATTCTCCGATGAAATTGTTGAGATCGTATCAGTATAGCATATAACCACCATACACCGACCGATCAAAATCAAATTCATGTATGGACATTTTTTTTTTGTATGTGAAAGGTTATAGCTTTAACGTTTTTTCTTGTTATTGATATTTTAAAGATAACTAAATGTGTTCAGGAATTATGAAAATATGACGAAATTTTGCAGCCATTTTTTTCTGTACTAAATTTATATTTCTGTATGTGCGAAAGATAATACTGTACAATTACAAATAAGGGGATGTGACAAAATATCTAGTAAATACGCAGATAAAATACATTTTTTTTTTCAAATTTCCAACATATGACTGTGGCAACATTTTGACATATTTTATGCAAAATTGAAGTTATTTCGTGTATTATATATTTTTTTCTCTTTAATTTTAACTTGGCAAACAAATTTAATTTGTATATTTGTATTTTGCTTAAACCTTTGAACACTATCTCTATGAATGAACCTTGCTTTTGCTCTATTTGAAAACTAGATCGCAATACTTTGAAAATTAACCTCTCACCTGTTGAATTAATTAATGTTTTTTTTTTTATGATGACCGGAAATCAAGCTTTTTAGCATAAATCACTAATGGTGCGTTGTTTGCATTGGGTTGTTTCATTTAATCAATGCTAAATGAGGTCAGTCAGCGCAGTTTTCTTTCGACTGTGCCGATTTTTTGGAAAATGTTGATATGTTTAACAGAAATAACAAAACCTAGCCTATTTGTGTATGAAGTATATGATTTATTTCAATATAACTGAACACAATTTTGTCTTTTATTTTTCTCCCGATTCTTCTGGCTGTCCGACAACTATACTTTCGACAACAAAATAAATCAAAAACGACTGCGTGCATCTTAAATCTTTTGCCACTACACACACGCTTAACCTCACGCGTCCTCCCTGTGTGATGAAACCAATATTTTCTTAAACACACATACACAAACTCGATAGTTATATCGAAGATCTTGGCATCGATTGGAATTGCATCTGAAATGGGTGGGCTGTATATAATTGGTATAATGAATGGTCAAATATTTAGTGGAGTGTGTGCAACATGTCATGCAACAGTTGCTCAAGACATTTAAGCAGGTATTTTTTCTTAACATTTCGTTTTCATTGATTTGGTTATATTTTCTTTTTTCTTATTGAAAATTTAAAGTGTTGCACTACTGTCTTGAAATGTGTTATAATGTGCTGTTATGTTTTTTTTTCATTATTATTATTACTTTTTTTTGTACGTTGATAAACAAAGCAAATTAATGCGTACGTTCTCACAGCCATTCAGCCATTTAGCCATATAGCCAATCAATGCCACCACTCAAAACTTCTCATTACCACATCTATTAACTAACTAATTTCTTACTTAAATTACACAATTTCCACATTTGTTTTGGGTAACTTATTGTAGTTTTAAATATGGAAATCATTGGACGCTTTTCAATTGATACAAAAAAGAAGTAAATATTTGAACAAATAACGGCGAACGGAGCTGTGCTGGAATGAACATACATACAGTGCTAATTCACCACTTCCGCCAACATTAAAATACTATATCCTTTTAATTACAAATAATTTATATAAGATAGTGTTAAGCGCTTTTCTACTTCCGTTTTCGAATTTAACTGTTTTTCAAATACCACAGACTTAAGCAACTTAAGTTCACTTTTTTCACTTCTTCTAGGTACTTTATGCAATTATGATGTCTAAGTTCTTAACAATTTATTTAAAAAAAAATCACTAATTCATGGATATGTGACTTACGTACGTACATACTTACAGTCTGTGTTGTTGTGCATTTAAGTAGTAACAAAAAAATCAATAAGGCATTCATGTTATAACTCATTCATCCACAAACTGTTGCTGTCGTTCATTAATTTTTTCAATTGACCAGCAAACAACATGCTAATTTCTGGGCCAAGAAATAAAATTGTCGCTGTTGCGCCGGTTTTCACTCATGCTCATAAACATTTTGTTGTCATTTGTTGCGTGTTTATATGCATTTTCGCTGCTACCGATGGTTTGAAATAAAAAACTTCTTAAAAAAAAGTATTGCCATCTATATCAAACTAACCACCACCCTAATTATAAGCTGCCCTAGCTGTTTAGCTATGGAAGCTGTTACTCCAATGACTACTTATATAATTAATACAATACATATAAATAAAAACATATCTATAAAGCGTATTACTAATTTTCATTTCATAAATAACCAAAAGAATTAAGACAAATTTTTGCTTGCATTTATTTAGATCGCAGAGTAACACCCTAATGCATCTTTGAGTACGCACACACATTAATACAATCACCTACTTGTAAAACAAACGAAAAGCATTGTAACGAACCAAAATGAGTCGGTTCGAAATATGTTTTGGCAAATACAAAATAACTTACAAATACTTCGCTACTCAAAAAATGCGTACGATTGGGAAATTAAGCGCATGCCAAGTAATTACTAAGCTATGACAAAAAAAATATTTATTAAGCTATGAGAAAAAGCAAGGACAAATGAAATGTGAAAAAAAGTTTAAAAAAAATATATATAAAAGAAATACATTTTGCAGAAATAAAAAGTATATGTGCTTCACTTACTTTTTACGTTGAAGAAATAAAATATTACAAAAAAAAATACTAAATCACATCTAAAGTCGTTAAAAGTGTTAACACGCGTTATTACAACAAAAGAAAACACAAAAAAAAGTAAATTTTAGCATAACTCATTCTTCACTCGATTGTCACAATTCTGCAGTGACATTTTTTGCATACTAAAAAAAAAATGAAAAGTAAAAAATTTATTCGCAATTAATGTGTGTACTTGCATGCTCAATGTTCTTGCGCATCAGCCGCGGAAAACTATAGTGATAATATGTAGTTGTATTGGGCCACTCAGTCGTTTGTTGTAAACCTTGTATTCAAATGTCTATAATAGATGTTTAAATAGATGTGCTTTGCTTGGTCACGTCACTGCATCTGTTTAGATGTTGCATGTCAATGGTGTGTTTTTGCTTGCCGCTCAACTTAGCTGTTCACATAGCAGAAGAGAAATTTAAGAGTTTAGGGAGGATTTGTGGCCACAAATGCTCTTTCGTGGTAAAAAAATATATACAGCTGTGTTCATGAAAATAGTACTGCTGGTGGGTTCTAGCTATAAAACAAAAAATTTAAGTTAAAATACAAACTACGAATTCAATAATAAAAAGAAATTTCTAGTTAAGATTTATTTAAAAAAAAACTTAAAAAATAGCCTGTTCAATTAAATAGTATTGCCTACTTTGTTGAAGGAAAAACAGAAAAAATCCAGTTAACAATATAGTAGTCATAGTGTAAAAGTTTTCGATTGACGAACATACACCGACGTTCCATAGACCTCCTTGACGACTAGCAAAAGTTGTGTTCTACTTGATGGATTGTGTTGCTGTTGCTACAACTCGTTTAACATCTCTCCATAACTTTTCGATTATTACATTACATCAATCTTTTCTCCTCCTTATTCATTGCATTGCATTTTATACCATTGGATATCTTTGTGTAGCTGTACCCCACTATTGCTTGTTCTGTCTTGTTGCCTTAGCTTTACTATAAATTCACTCTTCTCGATAAAGCAATGTCTTCCATTACCCACTAAAAAAGAAAGAGCATTGGGATTTCAAAAAAGTTGCATCAGAAAATGATTAAATCCGTTAAATGCACTCACTTAACGCAACTACGAGTATTTATTAATTTTTTAATTTATCGACACCCAACGACGAGCACTACTATTTTAATGAACAGCATGTTTTTTTTTTAGAAAGTGCGAAAGTGTGTCATAGAAACGTTAGTCAAAACAAAAGTAACGGGGTTTTTTCGTTTTTATAATTTGAAGTGTATTCTACCAAAATAAGCACGCTTATTGACTTTTACTTGTTGCACTATTATTTTCATGAACACAACTGTATATAATGTAGATGTAACAAGAAAGCGGAATCATCTTATAGCACTTGGCTTTACTTTTCTCTATCAATTGCATGCTAAAAAGCCGCCAAAATTTCATATTCATTATTTAATTTCATTTTAACACACCTCTATAGAATATATTTTTGTGTGTGCATTGCTTTTAATTTGTACTACATTTTCTTCTTACTGAACATACTATACTTAAAAAGTATTTATTAATATTTATAATATATATTTTGTGTGTGTTTTCTATTTAATGTCTATAATTTTTGTTTTTGTGTATTTTTCTCTCAGTTTTAGTGATTTTGAATCAATAATTTATGATGGATGCGGATAGATACACACAAGCAGTGATATACATACATATACACACGTTAAGAAATTGATTGAATAGAAAAGGAAAAAGAAAAAAAGTAATAACAATAAAAAAAACAACAACATAACTTATACTATAAAATACATTTTAACTATTTGCCATGAGTGAAGTATAAAGCGTATAATTGTTTAGAAACTGCAACTTTTCTATGGACTTTATGACTTATAATATCAAAACAAGCATTTGCATATATTCACATACATATATCGCAAGTGAGAGTCACGCGTTTAGTAGCAAAGCAGGCCAGTGTATTAGTTATAACTAATAATTAACCGTACACACATCTGTCCACACAATTAACTACCGTTAATAAATTGTCGAGCAATATTTTCAAAACTACGTTGCTCCGCATATTTCAAAATTGCTGTCACTGTGCGACTTGTAAAACATCGCTGAACACCCAAGTAAAGCAGAATGCCACTAATGGTTTGAAGAACGAAGCATGTTTAAAACAAGAAAAAAACAAAAAACACAAAGAAAACGAGTTATTGAAATACTCTACGAAAGGATACTTTGCTGTTTTATCATTTTGTGAGCGCATGGTATGTACATATATTTTTTTTCATTTACATTTTTATTGAATTAAAATTTACATTTTTTTATAATGCATTATTTTATACAAAAATATTAGCATAAATAGCGATCTAAATTTTTACGTATTCTACATTTGTTCCGCATCCAATTGTTTTTATTTGATAGAATAAATATTTAAAATAAAAATAAAAACGCGCGCCTTAGTTTTAAGTTTAAAAGTGCAATTAAATTGTTTCAATATCCGTTAATCAATAGCAAAAAAACAAATAGAAAATTTTAATAAGCACGTTTAAAAGTTAAAGTGTAGTATAGTACAGTTATGTTCATATTTATAGTAGTGCTATTTGGAATATGCCTCAATTCAAAAGCTGGTCTATTTGCAATACCAATTTAATTAAAATTGTGTTTTTAGCTTAACATAACGGCATGGAAAATTAGCTATCATTCGGGTTTGCTTAAAGTAAGTGTACTCCTATTTACAAGTACGTTTTACATTGATCGCCCTTTCCCTACCCGCAAGGATATATAAATTTACTAAAACGCTTAATATTTTTAAAGAAAACATGCCACGATATACAAAAAATTATTTTTTTCCACCACAGTGGACAGATCGAAAAATTTTAAATGAATAACAACTGCAAAGAGACAGGCAGACTGGACAATGTGTGTAAAATACAAATAGTGTAAAATATTTCTGTAGGCACAACAGTATTGGTAAAAGAGAATGAAATGTTCTATTGCTTGAGTTCAAGATAACATGGTTTCAAAAAAATACCATATACCAACCAAATAATCACCATACTCCGAAAATGTAGCGCCAATATCCGGAACGAAGCCTATTGGACTAAATATTAGTTGAATTATTATGTTATTATACGTCTTTTGTAGTTTTACTGCAATTTTTATGAACACATATTTTCGCATACAGTACTGTATAAAACAAAAGCAACAAATTAAAATAAATAACCGAAATTGTTGATATATTTTCCTAAAAAAAGTTTTACAAAAATATGATGGCTAAATATTTTATTCATGTATTCTCTTTAATTAAAAAAATCAAATTATTACTTCTTATTAAACAATCACTAATTAAAAAAACAAAAACTACTTCATAATCAATAAGGAAGTGCAGCTCCTTTATGGTATGGGAACCAAACGAACGCATGGTTCCGGTCCTACCATCCTGGAGGCAGCTGGTACGCGGTCCTGCGACGCCACCAACAATGCCTTCCGACGTTTTCGAGCCGTCAGTGTACCACTTAACAGTGCTGTCCCTTAGCAGTAGGCCTCAAGCAACCAACTTGAAGTGCCATGCAACACCCCGCATATAGATTGGAAGGCACCGAAAATGCCTTGTGACTTAAACCACTGCACCACGTTAAGGTTCCTATTATTCGCACAGGAACTTTTTTATACTTTTGCAATTTGCAAGGATCAAAGCCGTGCAAATACCTTAAGGTGTTGGAAAAACTTCATATTAAAAATCTTGCAAAAGAGTTCAACATTCATTATTCGACGAAATCGAGAATGAGAAACACGCTCACTCGAATTTGATTAAGATAACTCACATATCGATATATGGGGTATAAAGTCAGCCGGAATTTCGAAAATCTTTCTATTAGGTGTATGAGGGCTAAGGGGAATATTGACCCAATTCAACCAATTTTTGACATACATACCTAGTATTATCAAGAAAGGATCTTCTCCTGATTTTGATTATATATCTCACACATTGACCCATATTTTTGGTAGAAAGTCAACCATAGGCTCTAGGGTCCACATTTCCGGTATTTTGGGGCTTGAAAAGTTATGGTCCGATTTTGACATTTTTAGACCTTAGATGACATTCCTTAAATGCACTATTTGTGCAAAGTTTTATCCCCATGGAGTAATTGGAGCTGGAAAGTGAAAAAATTAGATGGAATATTAAATTGTGTTATATGAGAGTAAGTAAGAGAGTAAGCAAAAAACATAGCATTTGCATTTTCATTGTTGACAGTCATTTGTTGTTTGAGCTATTCATGCTGGTAAAGCTGGTCTAAAAATTGTGCAAAACGGAGCTTGGTAGCATTGAAGATGCTCTAACAACTATTGCCAGACTCTTTTCTATTGAATTCAACTAACAAACCTTGTTGTTGCTTTTATATGAGTAAGTAAATTTTCAGACAAGAGAGCATAGTGAAGAGATAGCGAAGGCTGCTGCTGAAATATTTTGTATTTTTTTTGCTTCTAATCCGGGTCTAATCGTTTGCAAATAAAAATCTCGAAATTAAAAAAAAAATAACGGAAAATCATATATTTTAAACCAAATAAATTTTCTATAGTTTTTGCACCTGGAACTAATGTATAATGTACATAATTGCAGTGCATACAAATGAAATATGTTGACCTGAAATACAATACTACGGTGGCTGTCTTAAATATAAAATTAATTAAAATATAATGTGTATTAAATCTAAAAGATAAACTAAGAATTTACACATACGAATTTAGCGAAAGTGCTGTGCCAATTTTAAATTGATGTTATACACGTGTATTTTAATCTAACTAAAATATAACTAGCTAATATAAATGTTATTGAAATAAATTTTTAAATACTTTAAGAGAAAACAACCCAACTATTTATATTTAAATATTTAGGGTATATATGTATAGCAGATACATACACACATATGTATGTATGTAATTGTTTAAAAAAAATTAGTTTTACTATCAAATATTATAAATATATGTATTGGATCTATGTACTACTATAAATGTAGTTAATTGTTTTTGTATACAATTTTTTGCATTTAAATATTGTTTTATACAATTTTTGAAAATTTTCATTTAAACTTTATTTTTCATTTCTATTTGCAGTGTACACTTTCATGTCGCTAGTCGATGCTGAATATGATATGATATTTCCATTTACCGTTATGCATGCTGTTCCGCCTTGAAATTATATATTTAGTCTATATTTCCTCTCCGGAAAACAAAAAAAAACATATATTTTTTTTATGTACACTATCTTGCCTACTCTCTTCGAAAAACTTGTAACTATCGTTAGTGGTAAATAACTATAATAGTTTTTAAAAGTAAATGTAATAGTTTTATACTCGCCGTTGCCTTATATAATTATATTAAATTTTCACTTATTTTTGTGCTTTGTAAATCTATATTTAATAGTCAAATGAACTTTTTAATGTTGCGGGTGCTTGAATACTTGAATTTCTTATCACTGGTACTTGTTGTTTTGTGGTTAACTAAGTACATACTTACAAAAAATAAAATGAAAACAAAAAAAAAAAAAATAATTATAAATATCTGCATGCCAGCTGGTGCAAATATGAAGAGTCCACTTCATCATAACATTAAATGTTGAATTCAGTGAGCACATTTTTTTATGAAAGTAAAAAATTAAATACGAAACATTATAGAAAATGAGAAAGTAAAGGAAATCACTACTGACTACTAACCGGTCGCTATGTTGAATGTTTGAGATAAGTGTGTTTACTACTTAGTCTAAGTGCAACTAATTTAAGTAACGCTAATTCATTGATTTATACGCGTTTTTCAGAAGCATAAACCTCACTGTTCTCTACTTGTGAGCTAAAAACGATACACGTCTCAAACTGTGTACTGCTGCGCTAGTTACCTTTCGCGGGGGTGCGCGCGGCGCTCACCAAGTTATTTTACTCTGTGTATATTTCTATATTTTTTGCTAGTTGCGTGTAAAACAATTTTATTTTGCACTTTTATTTTTGTATTTGAAATAAAAAAAAAAATTAAAATTAATACGGTCCAAAGTATCTCTTGAAATTTTTACTTTTATTATAGTGAGCAGTATTTGAAATTTATTTTCATTTTTATTTATATATTTTTTTAATTTCAACTTTTTGAATGGATCTGTTGTGCGGTCGCAACACTTTGGCCGTTACTTTTTTTTAAATTAAAATTTTTTCTTTGACAATTCACGCATATATATCAAAGTAGTACTTATCTTATTTATAAGCAAAAAAATTCGCCGATAATTTTTAATGTTCTCAATAAAACAAAAAAAACCCTACGTTTATTTATGTGTGCATTAATTGCCTTAAATTTAATTATTGAATACAATAATTTGTGATTCTTATTTTACAAAATTTATGATACATAATTATAATTGGCTTCCACTTCATGTCTCTAGCAATTAGCTTATTAATTTAATTTCATGTTAAGTTTTCATTTTTGTAAAGTACTAAGTTAAATATGAGCGATATGCAGTTGTAGTTTTAAGAATAAACATTTTGAAAACAAACATAATATTTGAAAATATTTGCATTAAATGTGGTGAAATTTTAAACGATTTTCGTAAACAAAAACAAAAGCGTGTTTATTACTAAGCTTAGAAAGTAATGTTTAAAAAAAAAGATATACGTAAATATACATTTATTAAGTACAGTTAGCGATATCAATATGCGCAGTTGCATGTTGGCAGAAAAAGTAAGAGAAATAAATTGAATTTGAGGTTATGACCCAATAAAAAAAATTATTTAAGGTTATGACCAAAAATAAAAATTGAGTTTGAGGTTATGACCGAAAAACAGAAAATATTTGATAAATCTACTGAACAACTTAAGAGATAATATTTAACATTCTTTGTCTTTTATTATAATAAACAAATAAAATTACCCATAACTTGAATACAAGCACGTCCATTTAGAGCACATATTAATATCGCCAACTGTATGTTTACAGAGAGCAAACACTATTTATCGCATACAAAGTAAAGTCTTCGTATTTGTATGTACGTTTATGCATAGAAATATACATTTTACAAAAAAAAAAAAACCATATTACACTATACACACATATTTAACTTAAAAAAGATAAAGAATACATTGAATAAAGTATAAAAAAAAATAAATAAGTGCAAAAAAACAGCGAGTGTTGTAATTGAAAATGTATTTACATGTAAACTGATATCTAGTTCTTAAGCACCAAAAAGATTGCATAAATGTATGTATACTAAATATATCGAATGTTGACATGTCAGTGGCTTTTTATTAACTACACACACACAACTGAACTTTTCAAATTGAAAAACTGTATATGTACATGCAGCATTTTAGAAAAATCTCATACACAAAAAAAAAATTACTAGCTTAAAGCAAACTGCAATTCTTACGAGGAAATATGAAATATTGACTATTAAGAAAGATGAAGGTTTTTGCTACACAGCTCAAGCCCTTGAATTTTCAAACTCGAATCACTAATACTTTATATTCATGTATTAAATATATTGTCAGATTTGCTATTAACTTTCTACTACTTGAAAAACAAGAAAACAAAAAAAAGAAGCAGAAATTTTATCAGCTACAAAACAAATATTTTTTTAAATGACTCGTCCTTTTACTATGACATTCACAATAATGCAAAACGCGCAGTGAATTCTACATAAACATACATACGAACACATACATGTTTAATAATATTAATAAAAAGAAGAAGAATATACATCGAATGAATGAAATTACGATTTATTGAGCAGAAGAGAAAAAAAACAAAAAACTAAAACTAAATATCATCGCACAAGTGCACATACATACATATGTAGACATATTTTGATGGTGAATTGTATGTTACTGCAAAATTATTTACAGCAACGAAGAATAATAATAATATTACAAACAAATTGAATTGAATATGTGTCATTGACGTTTCTAATTGGTTTATTGTCATATAAACGACTCAAGCCAACTGGTTATTTTATCAATAAACTCAAAATAATTACAAACAAAAAATGTGACCAAATACGTGCTTTTCCGTTTTTTAATTTGAAATGAAATTGTTTCTAGTAATTCGTCATTAGAAGTTTTGGATGCAGTATGAGACGTGGTTATAACGATCGATATACCACAGTAAGAAAAAAATCCCAGAAATAGATTGGACAATCACTGTTACTAGTAAATTACTAGATCTAGTAAAAAATCCAAAATTTTTGCATTAAAATGAAATTTGTATTTAGCATAATTATTATCCACCGTTTTGTTCGATAACTTTTTGGCATGTTGAAGGTAATATCATAAAGGCAATCTCACAGAAATCCGTAATCAATAGCACCCTAAAAGTTATACATCAAATGGCAATATCGGCCAACCTAGATGTAAACGGGGTAGAGTTAACTACTATTATACCATGTACGTGGGAGTAATTTTGGACAGCAAACTGACGTGAAAACTTAATGTGGTTAAGAGTGTGAAAAAGGCCAGCGGTGCTTCCTACGCTTGGAAGAAGATGCTAGGACCAACATGGGGTTTATCACCTATACTATACATTGGTGTTACACAGAGTTAGTCAAGCCAATCTTATATTACAGTGAATACAGCGGCTGCACTGGAAAGATTACGCAACCGACCACGAATTGATACTGCAGTGAAAAGTTCGGCAGCGAAATCAGCTGCAAGATTGGCGGCGTTAGGTGTATTTTTTACAACAATCTTCGGGCGTAACTCGATAAGCAGGGTGTCGGTGGACTACTTACCCTCTCGTCCCTATTGGCAAAAAACCTCACAACTAAACACCCTGAGCTTCCGGCTCCTCTCTTTCGATATGTGTGGTCTGGTGTTGTCGTGATGGAACACAAATCCTTTGCTATTGACCAAATATGGCTGCTTCTTGGCGATTACTTTCTTTAGTCGACAGTAAAGGTCCGTATTAACAGTTTATTGAGTTTAAGAGTACATAGTAAATGATTCATAACGAGTCATAACGTCATAAGTGACCCACTTTTAGTTGACTATCCATATCAGAAATCGATTTCGATTTTGGGTTAACTCGTGTGATAACCGTATATCGAGCTTCTTTTTAAATCCAGCCGCGTTTAAAGATACTAAATAGTTTTTTGAGCTAGATTTAACTTTTTGGAAATCGTAACAGTGCTAACATGTCGGTAGGACTTGTTGGCTTCGATTATTTTATCGATATTTTCTACAATTGGGTCTTCTGACATCAAAATTACCGGAGCGTAATCGACAAAACCTAAATTACGCATGATTGATTTCTACAGTATGAGGACCATAAAACTATTCACGTTTTCTGCCGCTTGGTTTGCATTTGTGTCTTCATCGAAGAAAACCTTTGTAAGTGTCTTTGACGCATTTTCAAGCAATCACAAAATAGTCTGGAAGAAATCTTGTTTCTAACAAGGTGCCAAATAACGGTTTCTGGTGGAACGGATCTAATTGCACTTACTTTCTTTGTCTTCGAAACAGCCTAAAGCAGTGAAACTTTTAGTTGAAAAGTATGTATACATATCTTCGAAGGCATATCACACAGTCTTGTAGCGTTATCATAAACGCCATATTTACGTACAGAAAATTTATTTGATAAACATAAAATAAGATTTCTTTTGCGTATATTTTTTGGAAAAATAACCGTCCACAGTACAAGTATTCGTAAATAACAGAAAAGAGTATTTTTGGTTAGTGGTTTTAGCAAGACGATTGTGAATCGAGCTATTAAGTTTTTGCAACAAATATTCACTGGATATTTGATGTTAAAAAGAGGTGACTTTGACAGGCCAATCAGGGTCAAATATGACAATCCACTGACTCATTTAGGTCTGCTGATTTGAAAAGCAATGCATCAAAAAGGGCATTGGTAACTTGTCCATTCTAACGCTTAATTATAATATAACGCTTATATTATACAATGCAATTAGTTGGCTCATAAGTGTTTAATTGACCAAACCGACGACTTCAATTGCCACAACTGTCAGCTCTGCGATACCAGCATTGAACTGGATTTTATCCGGCCAAGGACTGTTCTTTCGGCGATCTAACCTTGTTTGGATCGGTATGGAACAAATAACTCTATTTACTCCTTAATTATTTCAGCTAATGGAGCTGTTGACGGATCTGGACCATAGACAATTAGTCTTATATGAGTACGTTCTAGTGTCCGTTGGGTTTACGAAACAACAACAATCAGTATTTGTATTTTATCATTTCGCTAAACTATTGGAGCAATTCGAGCATGCAAATATTTATGTAGCTGCTCCGAGACCGTGAGTGGAACCAAAATTCTGATCGCCTTATACACCTCTCTTTTAGGTTTAGGTGAGTGAAGTTTGGAGATGGGGCACTAGTATACCCACCCATTCTATAAAATGGGTGCTAAATCTTATAACGGTAATTTCAATGTAACTAAAAGAGGGATAGCTATCTAACAATAACAACAGCGCCATTATCCCTTCCTACTGAAGTATTTAGCGATTTGTTTCACCAGAACTAAGCATTCGCCAACATTGGATATGTATAAAACCAGTCCATAAAGTATCCACATATGATTAATTCAGTAAATGGAATACAAAATGTGATTTAAATAGTCAAAGAGCTAGAATACTATGAAATGGTTTATTCGTGAACTCGTATATATTCAAACGTAAAATTATAGCGTAATGTAAATAATTAGTATTTGTGCATATTGCATTTGAAATAAATAAAATTTTTGTACACTTGCAATTCAAATAAATAAATAATAGTAAACTGAGATATGTAAATAAGTGGTATCCGGTATTGTTACATATTTGCGACTTATAGTGTTGTCTAATAGTCAACGTACCGGTGTTCGGCGTTTTATAAATTTTTTTGTAAGATTTGCTGTTTATTATGAGTCACTGTCAGGAGATCACAGCTACCACAAAGGATGGCGGAAAACAGGTGACAAAAGACCATAATCTCGTATTGTCTGACTGATTGACGGTGCGCAAGATAGCTAAGACAGTAGACATCTCAAAAGATCGCATTGATTATATCCTACATAAAATATTGCACATTACAAAGCTTCCGGTAAGGCATGGTCTAAATCTACTCTACTCGAAGACAGGCAAAACTGTAATAGGGGCTCTACTATTCCGAATTATTGAGCCAAAGAAAAATCGACCTCAATTGGCGAAGAAAAAAGTACTTTTCCACCAAGAAACCCGATGCGAAGGCAGATGAGCTGCGTTTTACTGATTTTTCAAAAAGCTTTATGTAGTGTGTACAGTATGAACAACCCTATATTTACTTATGAAAATCCACTGTTGTAAAATGACGCGATTTTTCAATGTGTTTACAGACTACAATACGATTCCGTCTTTGTTGGCACCTCGTTTTTTTCTACTTATTAATAATAAACTATTAATTTTTGCGCATTCGCAGATCGAACACCACAAACCGCCGCTGCCGCCACCAGCATGTGTCGCCACCACACCTTACCGCCCACAATGACTATTGTAAACATTCGCAACAACAATGTAAACATAAACATCGTTGACATCGTCTTCGTCGCTGTGTTCGGCCAAGTGAATTGAATGGAAAGTGAGCGCCAGCGAGAGAGAAGGGCGCTTCTATTCACTGGCATTGACATTTGTGTGTCGAAAGGAAAATAAAGCAACAACACACAGATAATAAACTGTAAAATTTCTTGGCTTAAAATTTCTGCTCTTTGCCGGCAGTTGCGGTGCGTTCGAAGTGTAGTATTTACGTTTGTATGTATGTGTGTGTGTATGAATTTTGGTTTGGTTGTGCAATTATGACGCTGTCAGTGCAAGGCAAGGCAAGTGGCGTAGAAACTCGCAGATGCAATCTATATAGTTTCATTTCGGTTTCAGCAACGGCTGTGCTCGGTGGACAACTTGCGACGTTTCGTATACACAGTACCTGTAATCGTGAATTGGGCCGCGCTTTTGAAAGCTGTGACGGTGATAATTGATTAAGTGGTGCTATTAGTGGATTAGAAGACGCTTTCGACAGTTCGACTGAAAAGTAAGTTTTGCCTAATATTTAGTGTGTTTATTTCCTTTAAGTTGTTTCTATCTTTTATTTATGGTGTTTTGTTTTATTGCCTTTTATTGGTACGAATTTCTCACATCTGATGCCACCACATAACAACAACAACATATTAATAAATATGGTCGTTTGGGCCCCCATCAGTGCTTAAATCGATATTAACATTTGCAGATCAGTTTTTAAGTTTGTAAGTAAATATTTTCTAAAAACGTACATACTTTTTTGTTTGACTTATTTTATTATTTAAATTGTTATATAAGCATTTTTTTTAATTACTGCTAAATTGTGTTTTCTGCCTTTTATGATTACTTGCATCCGATCTATTTAAATACAAGAAGAAGAAGAAGGATAATTCTGACTGAAATTTCGCATGAAAGGCCACCAAAAAATATTATTACAAGTAGATCATCGGTCATTCATTGGCAGCAAATTTTTGAGTTCTATTATAATATGAGAAAGCTTCTTATAAAGCTTACAAGCACTTCTGAAGCAGTTTAAAGTTGTTACACGGTAATGGTGTCAACAGACAGCATAAACTATTGTTGATATTTAGTTTCTAATACAGATACAGCTTTCTAAAGAAATGAGGAACTAATTTAGCTATTTTGTCTGGCGGCTTATTCATGTTTCATAAATAGTGTTTTTGGTACAGATATGGAAATTTTATTTCCAATAAAACTCAAAAAAAATATATATATATGAAATATTTTCGCTTAATTACTTGTTTCATATTTAGTGCTTGAAAAGTACTACGGGGATATGGCAACCCTAACTCCGTTTATGAAAAACATACTGTTGGTCCAATTTTGCACAACTTTTACAAGCATAGCCGGTCTTATCTCACTTATAACGAATCAAATGTTGGCTTCACAATGCTCTATCGTAGCTGGCTTAGCAACATAAGATTTTGCCCTCGACATACCCTACAAAAATATATATAATAATATATTATTTTCTTGATATGATTTGAACACCAAATATTCATTCGGATAAAGTCATAGTTTCGCCCGATTTTTGGCTTGATACACCGTTCATCTGGAACAATTAAGAAGTTGTACCTTAGATATTGTTCTGGGGGTGCCATAAAGTTGGGCAACCTTTGGTCTTTTGATCAAAGTTTTAAAAAAAGAAGGGACCGCTTAATAGCTTTACCTCTAGAAAAGTTCATACCTCTGCGAAGACACTTTATACATCCATACACAATTTTGCGGTAATATAATACTAGGAAATAATTATGCTTGAAATTAAACTGAAAAAGTATTCCATGTAAGTAATATTAATATTGCAACTTATCGAAACTATTTTTTAAATTTTGGGCCCATTTGCTTCTAGGATCTGTATTTAAATAGTAAAATATAAATATCATAAAAATGAAAACAACATCAACCACTTCAACTTTGCGAGGAAAGTCATTTAATAGGCTGAAAAGAAAATTTTTTTATAGTGTTACCGCCTGATTTTAAATACAAGTTGATAAAAATTGAAGATTTGCTAAGGAATGGGTATAAAACTTGATTAAACCCGCTTAATAGATTAAGTGTAATTATACTAACTTGAAAAGTTAAAAAGGTATGTGGTATAAAATGAGTGATATTTAAAAAAATTTGAGTTTGTAATGTTGCCACCCGATTTGATACGTAGAAAATAAAGAGTTACATGAAATTTTGCAATAACATACAATTCAAAGAATTGCATTTTTTAATTCGCAGATGGCGAGTTCTTTTTTGTTAAAAAGTTGTTTCTATATATAAAGATACCTGACCACAATTTTTGGTATAGTTTTCGATTAATTTTACACTATCATTTGCATTTTTCATTAGTATAATATTATGCTATCGTTTGGAAAAATTTTTAAGGTAGGATGCTTGAGAGAGCACTTAACAATAATTTTCTGCATATGTAGGTTAAAAGATTGTTTGAATCGTTGGAAAAATTCTATAAAATCCTTGGAAAGTACAAAAATTGTATTTTTCCATAAAACCACTTCCTTAATTCTACGCAATTACATCAGAGGATTATTTTACGTTTTCCGGTACGAGTATAACCTCAACTGCGTTTTAAAAGCAGTGGTTTTATACGGGGAAAGACCTTTTTTTGTAAAGCGCTAAATTTTGTATTGGAATAGTTCCAAAAATAACATTTGGGTAAAACAAAGAGTGTTTTTTAGACATGTGGTTTTAGAGAGAAACTAAAACGCATATAATTTAATGTTATGGCCAAGAATTTAGCTTCATTATAAAGATAAGTGTTTGCTATTATGTTTTAAAAATGATTTCGGGCAAGTGAAACCCGTGACTGGCTCGAATAAACTCCAGCCTATAGGTCAAATTTTCTACCACTTTTTGCAACATTAGGGACCGTATGTCATCAATAACATGCCGAAAATCCTCTTCCAACGTGTCCAGTGGTGTTAAATCGCACGTTAGTGGAGGCCACACAATAGGTCCACGACGCGAGATTATGTGCTCACCAAAGGCTATCTTCAATAAATTGAATGCTTTGTTGGCTGTATGGCATGTAGCGCTGTCTTGTTGGAACCATGAGTAGTCCACATCAACATCATTCAATTCAGGCACGAAACGGTCTTTAATCATGGCTCTATAGCGTTCCCCATTGACTGTAACATTATGGTGATTCTCTCTGCCCATATAGCACACCAAACAGGGGCTTTTCAAAGATGTAACGGCGTCTCAACAATATTGACAATTTTATTTATTAACATACCCTTTCATGCAAAAGTGAGCTTCATCATTTCTTGTGAAAATCGGTATCGATGGCCATCTTGTTTCATCGAATATGCGAAGCACTCCAATTGTTGCGCGCGATGGGACTCATTTGGATCTTCTTCGATACTCTGCTCCACATCAGCAATAGCGTTGCAAACGTTGTTTCAGAGTAAGTCTATTCATTATGAAATGGCAAACCAAACTCAGTATAAATCAAGTAACAGTTGTCAAAAAGACCAATTCCGAAAAAAGTATATCCTCACTGAAAACACACTTCTAAGAAAAACACCCGTTACATGGGAAAAGTAAATTGATTTATGCACGGTTTATGTTGAAAAGAAAGAGTTTGTTTTCGTTGGAAAATTTTTTTAGAGCAAAAACTGGAACCGGGGGGGGGCGTTTGGGGGCAAAATATGCTTGTGCAATAACGGATACTTTAATGTACATATCTAATTATTCTTAAATATTTTTACCGACAATACATTTTTAGGTCTATTTAACATCACCATTAATATATTTAAGGTCTATTTTTTTTAGTTCCACTTGTTAAACTATAAATGCACTTTAGGAGAACTGGATTATTACCACAAGTTTCAGAGTATGTAGGCATATTTATTCTATAATTTTCTTATCTCTAAGTTCGGCAATCCGTTCAGCATTGTAACCCAAAAGTTGTGATAACACCTCATCTGTATGTTGTCCCATCAGAGGGGGAGCTGTGCGTGCATCATTTTTAGAATCACTGAAGACGACAGGTGGTCCGACCACTTTAACACTGCCATCGCTAGGATGTGGCAAAGTTTTTACCAAACCAATAGCCTGAATATGTTCGTCTTCGAATACCTCACGTATATTGTTTACGGGGCCCACCGGAAACGAAGCACCATCGAATTGTTGCATCCAACTCTTTGACGTCTTTTTTGCTAAAATATCTTCAAGCAACGCTATCAATTCTGTACGATTACAAACACGATCCTTATTTGTTTTGAATTTCGCATTCGCCGCAATATCATTAATATTGAGTAACTGACATAATTCGCGGAACTGATTGTCACTGCCAGTACCAATGGTTAGATAACCATCGGCAGTTTTAAAGCTCTGATACGGCACAATGCTCGAGTGTGCAGTTCCCCAGCGATGTGCCTCTATGCCGGCATTCAAATAATTGCTAGCCACATTGATTAGTAGCGACACTCCGGTGGACAGCAGATTGACGTCGATTTTTTGACCATACCCCGTACGTTCACGCTGCAGTAATGCGGCCAAAATGGCGCCATGAGCATATAAACCGGTCGCTGCATCGGTAACTGCCACACCTACCTTGCATGGTGGACCATCGCGTTCACCGGTTATATGCAACAGACCGCCAATCGAAGATGCAATCACATCGTAACCCGGACGCTTAGCATATGGACCAACCGAACCATAACCAGTCATTGAACAATAGATGAGCTGCGGTGCAACCTTGCACATTTGCTCATAATCCAAACCGTACTCAGCCAACTTGCCCGGCACATAGTTCTCCACAAGCACATCACATTTACGCGCAAGCTCATAAATGATTTCCTTGCCACGTTTCAAATCGATGGCTGCACTCTTCTTATTACGATTAATCGCTAAGAAATAAGCGGAATCCTTACTGTGCTCCAAAAATGGTGGTCCCCATTTGCGCGCCTCATCGCCACCATAAAATGGTCGCTCAATCTTGATGACTTCTGCGCCCATATCAGCCAGAATCATGGTGCAGTAGGGGCCCGAGATGATGCGTGTCATATCAAGAATGCGTAAGCCCTTAAGCGGGTGCTCGGCAGTAAGCGTCGGCGCGCCGTTCTCGCTACTCGTTGCAAAATAATGACATCCTATGATTTGCTTGTTGAGTTGCTGTCGCAAAACTGCACGCAGAGCGTAAGGCAGCCGTGTAGCGATCGGAAGCATTTCCCAGTTTAGTGCAAACTTATTATTGTTTATTTGTCTTTTTTTTAAATTTCTATTTTAGCATTTATGCATTGTAACCAGGCGCAAATGTATGCAATTTTGTATATTCGTGTGCTAAAACGTCTATTTGTTTATAGTTTTTCGTCTTCTTTAGTTTGCTTTTCTTTTTTCTTTCGCACGTTTTCGCCTCGTTTAACGTGAAATGCAACCGCTTCTCCTCAGGTTCTTCACATAACTAAATACACACCTCTATTCGTCAGCCCACAAATGTCGGCGGGAGAGCCTTTACGACCTTCTATAGTGTATTCACTTCGTGGTGCGAATGTTGTGATAAAATGTTGTTTGTTCACCGCTCATAAATTCCTATGAGTATTATTCGTGGCGCTTATCATTCTCTCTGCTCTGAATTTGTATTTGTTTTTATTAAGAATTTCGTTATTTTTTATCATATATTGTATCTTCCCTTGCACACTTCACTCGAATGCATAAGTACTCGAAGTTTTAACGAAATGTGACAAGAACTTTCCACTACAAAGCTTTAAATAAGTAAAAGGGCTTTTGTATTTCTAATAAAAACTAGTTTCTGTGATTAAAATGTGTACGTCCATAAGAAGCATTAATTTGAATGTACAGGTTGGTTAAAAAGTGTCTGCGCTCGAAATGAAAAAATACTGTTTTTGTTCGAAATATATGTTTTTATTCAATATAATCTCACTTAACTTTAATACATTTATTTCAACGACCAAAAATGCTTTCCACGAAGGAATTGTTTCAGGTCTCTGAAGATATAGTAGTCGCTGGGAGCCTAATCTGGTGAATACGGTGGATGCTCCGTTTGCTTCCCAAAAAACTGATGCTATAACCTTCTTTGCATGTCGTTATGACTTCATCTGCTTTGAAGCTGAACGACCAGCTTCAGTCCACTATAAACGTTTTTATCTCAATTTAGGGTAATGGTGGTAGATCCAAGTCTCATCCATAGTATTCAGACTCGATTTTATTCTGCTTAAAACGCTCCAAATTATACTGAGAAATTTGTTTTCGATCCAGTTTTTGTTGAATGTTAACGTGTGCGTCACTAACTTTCCAAACAGCTTTTTCATATATAATTCTCTATGCAAAATATTAAATACTCATTCGTTTGAGATGCCTATGACATAAGCAATTTCACACTTAGTCAAACTTGGATCTTCACTAACAATATTATGAACTCAATGATTTCTGGTGCGGGTTCGGACCAAAAGGTCGTCCTTTGCGTGGGAATTCAAGCCTAGTACGACCACGTTTAAATTCACCAGGCCAAAATTCAACAGTGCGTTTTGAAGGTGAGGACTCCTTATACACTTCTAACAACTGTTCATAAATTTCCTTTGATTTTAAATCTTTCAAAGAATGAGTTGTAACTTTGCATGTATTCTCACGACAGATGAACCAACTTGAGAAAAAAACAATTTGGAGCCAGTAGTGCTATTTCTTGGTGAGAGCAGAAACTTTTCAACCAACCTGTATATTTTATATCAAATACTCGTATATTTTAAATTGAATTCGGAAATACACATACTGACTTTTCTAAACTGTTTTGACCACCTGAGAAATTTATAATATTTTAGTTTTAATGCATAAGGTGTTCTAAAACTCTAAAATTCAAAATTCTTTGGCTGATGAATATGATATTACAAAAAGTACTGTATATTAGGGCGTAACTACCATATTATGGTGATAAACTTTCTAATTAAATAAAACGTTTTATTCAACAATATCGCCATCTAAAGCCAATGACCAGCAACGAGCGTCAAAAAGTCGTCTGACACAATCCTTCTGCCGTATGAGGCCTTTTAGAATTTGATGGTTCTTCCATATGAATGGCGTCGTCTAAATCTTGTACATTTGTTAGATACACGAACAAATTGTGTATACCAGTACTATGACAGCCAATATGACTCAGTTAAAGGGATATGTAAAATATAACACTGTATTGTACAGTAAGTGCAATTAATTAACGGTCGTTTCATAATATATGTGATTTTCAAAGGACTTTATAAATTAATTTAAAAAATCGGCAAAATCTTTAACATAATATAATTGCGCGAAAAACGCTATAATATCGGCAGCAGTAGTGACAACTGCTTCAACTGTCTAATTAGAAATTTGAGTAGACAAGGTACTAATATTTACTAAGATGAATTTGAGATTACTTTCTTATCATATCTGATGAAAATTACACAAAGTTACTCTTTCATTGGGATTAACTTTTATAATATGTCCTCATTACGTGAGAGAGCAATTGAGTATTATTTAAAACTCTAATTTAATAGTAACAAAAAATAGAAACCGTTAACTTCCGTTGCACCGAACCTATAATACCCTTCACAATTTTAAAAGTAAAGAATTGATTTTGATGGTTCAGTTTGTATGGCGCATATATGCTATACTGGTTCGATATCGGCTGTTCTGACATATGAGCAGCTTTTGGGGAAAATATTACGTGTGCAAAATTTCAGATCTATATCTCAAAAACTGAGGAGAGACTGAGAACTAGTCTGTATATATACTAGACAGATGGTCAGACGGACATGGCTAAATCGACTCAGCTCGTCAGGCTGATTTGATTTTCTTTTTGAAAGGAAATGGAGCTGAAAAATAAAAAACGCTTGGATGAAATATATGGCGACTCTTCCCCTTCAAGTCAAACCAACCGTAAAAATTGGGTTTGACCACTTTTCTATATCCTGCAAATGCGTTGTTACGTTTGCTCTCCCCGAACGACACTTATTAGCAGTTTGACGCAATCCCTAGTAGTTTCTGTCGACGTTCACAGTATTCTCTACATTTGGCTCCATGCGACTTTATTTTGTTCCAAACTTGAAAAAGTTATGGGTGACAGAAGTTGAAGTATTGCTGGCTCAAATGTATCAAGTTATAAGAAGACTATGTGAAAATAAGCCGACATTTTTCCACTTTTTTTCTTTGGAAGACTAAGTACCTCGCAGACCGCCCTTGAACAAATGCTCTCATCATACAAGCTTTATCTTCCTATATTGATAGATAGTGAGAGTGTACTTAATCCAAAGTGCTAGTTACAGAAAAAAAATTAGATTTAAAGGTTGACAATTTCATAGGGTTGTCTATACCAAGCGCGCGGTTATTGGCGCTTTCAGTGCGCCGAATATCATGATACTGAGAGTGGTATTATTGTTTTTCAAAATGAATTTTGTGTGAGTAATTGCCGATTTCAACATTCCGTATAAGGGGCATATGCGTATCTACGTAGTTGAGTCTGCTTACTTGCTATAAATTAAGTTAATACAAGTATTATTGCTGAACGAAGGAAAGAGAGGAAAATTTGTCGAAATCAATTCATTAATTTTAATTTTAATTGGTTTTTTGGTTATTTTGAATATTAATGATGGGAAATTTTATATTCCTTTAAACAAATATAATTCTTTAAGAGCAAAATGAAATATTGCTTACAATGTGAGCAAATTCGATATAGCAAGGAAAGGTTAAAGAAACACTTATTCTACCACAAAAGTATTTAATAAATTATGACACAATTTCATCATACAAACCGATGCACATTTATATGCATAAATTATAGTATTTAACATATATCATACACATCATACATATATTGTTTACCATTAATTGTAATCATATGTGTGCAGTGTTTTGTTTCTGTTTTAATTTTTGCGGTTAAACAATTAAACTGGTTCAAGATTTTGCACATCAAACCCGTATTAGTAACAACATGAAAATAGCGAGAAAACACATTCGACGAAAAGATGAGTGTAAAGCATAAACTGCAAGCATGTAAGATAGCACACGTAAAGGGAACCTTAAAAACCCAAAAAATAATACATATTACTAAAAAGTTAATAGCTGCGCATGATGACCTTTACCTAGTTAACATTGAATGCACATGAGAAACGATAGAGAAACGACCCAGACACATGCTTATAATGCTCGTAAAAGTTTGTAACATGAAATATGGAAATGGTATCTGTCCTCAAATACTTTTTGAAAAACGTAATAACAAAGCAAAATAGTTATAGTTACCAAATTTTTATATTATATTATAATTACAGTTAGGTAGGTAGGTAAAGTGGCTGTCATTCGACACACTTAGGCCTTTAGGAGGCCCATTGTGATACCACTGGGACTGTGTTCCCCTCACTCTATTGGCTCCTCTCTGAACCACCCCGTACTTCTGATGAACTTCATCAGTGAGACAAGTCTGTGCAACCTCCGAGACGTCGTCAAGAAACCCACGACCGATGGTTGCGATTCGTTTGCTATATAGTGCTGCGCAATCGCATAAAAGATGTTTAATGGTCTCCTCCTCTACTACTTCCTGACAGCTTCTACAATAGTCGTTATATGGCGCGCCAAGTCTACTTGCATGTCTGCCTTTTTGACAGTGGCCTGTTAGTATAATTACAGTTAAGAGTGTGGATATTTATTAGCCGGAAAACCGCCTTTATTTTGGCTAAAAATATGGTCGGCTGCACCAAAGCTATGATACCCTTTGCAGGTGCATATCTTATAGCAACTATGTATAGGTATAAATAACTACAATACATCTGAAAACGTATTCGCCAAAATCGATATGTTGTTACATATAAAGAATCTTCAAATCGCATTAAGGTTACTGAATAAAGAAAAAGGATCTTTTATGAAAATCGTTATCTTGATTTTGATCGGTCAGCAAGATGTTATAGTGGTCCGATATGAACATTTTGTTCGGAGATTGTAGCGTTGTCTTGGACAATAATCTATGCCAACTTTCGTAAAGATATCTTGTCAAATTGTCTTTTTCAAACAAGAACTTGATTTGGATCGATCAGTTTGGATGACAGCAAATGCTATATTGGTTCGATATTGTGTTCTTATAAATTTCACTAATGTCTCTATATAGAAGAACGAAGAAGTAAACCCTCCACAATTTTCCAAAGAATAGGACTTCAGTCTCCCTATCAATATCTTTAGCAATTCGAATTAGATTTAAAACATTCTCACGGTTGTTGTTGCTATTGTTGTAATACTGAAAACATGCATCAAAATGTGGGTCCGATGTTCAATTATGGCAGACAATTTTTTGTGTTACGAGTAGTCCATGTGGATGTCAAGCCATTGATTATACTTTTTTCGATGCTAAGATGGCATTAGAGTTAGGTGGATTTTCCTAAATTGGAAGTTGGTATTAGATATAGCAATAATCTTTAATATTTTGAAGAGTCTAATTTTTTCTTAGAATAGAACTTGCAGTGAGGCTTAACCAAGAGAACTCAACAAGAGACAGAATAAAAAATAGAATACTGTTCTTGAAAAAATAAACACCTTTCATACATATATATTTAAAATTCTTTTTTCTTAATCGATTTCGATGAAGTAACAATGAATGAGGAGCTTTGAGGCATATCGACACCTCTTAGACAACTCATTATGCATATCTGGTGGATAGCATAAAAAGATAAGGCTAATAATTAGAAACAATGGCAAAGACGTTTTAGTTAGAACCGCCATATATTTTTCAATTAAAGCTCTTTGCAGACGCTTGTTACTATAATATTTTAATAATATTTACACTTATACATATGTAC